CGTCTGGGCCTGCGGGTCGGTCTGGCGACTATGTTGTCGCCGTCGCCGCCCGTCGTCGCCGCCTCGTCGGCGCCCGTCGTCTGGGCCTGCGGGTCGGTCTGGCGACTATGTTGTCGCCGTCGCCGCCCCCGTCGCCACCAAGATTGCACAACATAGATTATCCTGTTTCAATAAGTATTCTGATATTTCCCCTTGCCCCCTCGACTTGGCGCCCCCTGTGATCGTATTGTAATTTTCAAACTAGTCCGCCCCATTGCCCATCCAGGCTAAATCAGTACCATCCCAGCCAGACTGGTATCCCTCCCTTCATCATCTGCAGAAAACCCTATGCGCGAACATTCGTTTATCAAAAACCATCAGATTCCCAGACACCCTTGCGGCAAATGGGACGAAGTGCACACGCACGCGTCTCTGCGCGCGCATCTCGGATCCTCAAGAACCAAGAGATTCGCAAGGATGTCAAAATCAAATGTCCCGACCACTTATAAACACACATGGTTTTGCAACATCAGTTCTTCAATAAGCATGCGATCGCGGTCTGGCGAGTTATTGGCCTACCATGCGTTTTTCAACATGGTGAATAAGTTTTGCCAAACAGGTCTCTCGCGCCGCGAGTAAAAATCTGTCGAACGCCCTTGCCCGCATGCTGGGGAGGGGGGGGGGGCACGATCCGTTTCAAATAATACCATGCGAGCCACTCTCGCGCGTCTTCTGCGCGCACATTTCGATTTTTTGCGAAAGCATCACCGACGCGAGGACGCCGTCATCGTCGCCGGCGTGGTCAGCATCGGCGCCGTCACTGGCCGTGCCTTTGTCGTTGGCATCCTCGTCACCAGCATCGCCTTTCAGCATCATCGCGTTTACCGCTGTCGACGATGCCATGATACCGGGCCCGTCCAACTCGCCGGCTCGCAGTGAAGGGCCCGCTGGCAAGTGCCCAGCGGTCTGCGCCACCGCGGCCGCGTCGGTCGCGCAGCGCTAGCTGGCCGCTGCGCGCGCGAGCATGCGCGGTAGCGCGGCCGCGACGATGCGGCAGCCAGCGCCGAGCAGTCATCGCAATCGCGGCCGCATGGGTTTTGCAAACCAAGTTGCGGGTGGGTGGGTGGGATGATTGCGCAAGCAGTGGACTTGACGATTTCGAGTTCGGCCGGGCGAGTTGCACCGCGTAGATTGCACCGCGTAAATGTTTTCCGAAAAGAGTATGAAGACCCCCCAGACATAACGGGTCACCTTTTTGTGTTTCAGTGTTCAAATCATTTTGCCCCATCGTCCATCAAAGAACAAGAGTTCGTATCATCCCAACCAAGCTGGCAATAGTTTGCAACTGTTCCCCCCTTCATCTTCTGCAAAACAACACTTTGTGCGCGCACCCGTTTGTTACATAATCTGCAGTCTTCAAGCAACCCTCGCGAGAAAGGGGGCGATGTGCACACGCGAGCGTCGCCGAGCGAGCACGCCGAAATCTTCCAATGACCATTTTAGGTTTCGTAAATATTTCAAAATTGAATGTCCCGAATAGTTGAAACAACCACACGATTTTGCAACATCCGTTTTCAAAAATACCTTCGCACACGCTTTGGCGAATTCTTAAGAAACGCACGTGCTCACAACATGTTATTGACAGTCTGCCAAACGGTCCCCTCGGGCCACACGCTGAACCCATCCGAACGCCCTTGCGCGCGTGCTAGGGGGGGTGCGCGATCCGTTTCGAATAACACCACGAGGGCCACTCGCGCGCATCGGCCGCGCGCGCATGTCGAGCTCCATCCAAAACCTTCACCGGCGCGAAGGCATTGTCGTCCTTACCGGCGGCGTGATCAATATCGGCGTCGTCATTGGCTTTGCCGTTGTCATCGCTACCGTCGACACCATCGTCGTTTTTTTCATCCTGTTGTTTACCGTTGTCGGCGCCGCCGTGATACAGCGCCCGCCCAAGTTACCAATTCGCAGTGAAGGGCCCGCTGGCAAGTGCCCAGCGGTCTGCGCCACCGCGGCCGCATCGGTCGCGCCGCACTAGCTGGCCGCTGCGCCCGCGAACATGCGCGGGTTAGCGCGGCTTTTGAGATGCACCAGCCAACGCCAAGCACTCACTGCAGTTGCCGTCGCATGGGTTTTGCAAACCCAGGTGCGGGCGGGTGGGCTGGGTAATTGCAAGAGCCAGTGGGGTTGACAACGCACTGAGAGAATTGGCGAATTGCACCATGTAGATCGCACCACAGATTGCACCACGTCGATTCTCCTTCTAGAAAGAGAATAGACTCTCCCCCGTCGTCGTCGTCTTGGCGTCGTCGTCGTCGTTGTCGGCGTTGTCATCGTCGTCGTCGTCGGCGTTGTCATCGTCATCGTCGTCGGCGTCGACGTCGTCGTCGTCGTCGGTGTCGTCGTCGTCGTTATTATCGTCGTCGTCGAATTCGTTGGAGACGTCGTTCGTGTCGTCGTAGTCGTTGTCGGCGGCGTCGTCGTCGTCGTTCTCGCTGTCGTCGTCGGCGTCGGTGTCGCTGCTAAGTGCCATTTGGCACCCACCGTCACGGTCTTGAGAGGTCTTGCGACCAAGTTGTGGGAGGGAGGGTGGAATGTTTGCACGAGCAGCGGAGAGGACAGCTTCAACTTGAGCAAGTGATGGATTGCACCACGTAGATTGCACATCATATGTTGAACATCGTAGATTGCACAACCGATGTTGCACGGTTTTGGTTGCACCGCATATTGTGCACCGCGCATGTTGCACCACATGTGTTGCTCGACATATTTTGCATCGCGCAGGTTGCACCACCTAGGATGCACAACATCTACTACACTGGAGAACATCGGTGTCTACACACATATATATGTATATATATATATATACATACATACATACATGTGTCTGTATATGTGTATATGTATGTGTGTCTACATATTTTATATAAGTACACAAGAGTGAGAGGGCCCAATGGTCACTCATTGTCCCTAGGTGTGTTGCTGAAGTGTGGTTCCAGTGCGCGGATTATTGTTCTCGCGTTGCGCTGCGTTGCGTTATCGTGTTCGCTCCCCGCGGCCCACTCGCGACCCGCCCCGCGACCCCCCCGCCCCGCGACCCTCACTCGTGTCCGCAGCTGCGGGGTGCTCCGCATACGCGTGCACGGATGGTATGTGTGTGGAGATAAAGAGAGAGAGAGAGAGAGAGAGAGGGAGACAACAACATAGTGCGCGAGGAAATCTGGGGCCTGCCCCGTCCACCCGCAGATGGTCGCGTGGTGTCATGGGCGCGCTCGCCCGGCCGCGTGGGCCCCTCGCCGCCGCGTGGCTGCTGTGGTGCCCCGGCGGCCGCGGCACCGGCGGGGCGGCCTCGGAGGCGCGGGGGCCGTGGGAGGCCCGCCAGGAGCGGGGGCTGCCTCCTCCTCCTCCTCCTCCTCCCCTCCTTCTCCTCCTCCTCCTCCTCCTCCTCCTCCTCCTCCTCCCTCTCCTCCTCCTCCTCTCCCCCCTTCTCCCTCCCCCCTTCCTCCTCCCCCCATCTCCCCTCCTCCTCCTCATCCTCCTCCTCCTCCCCCTCTCCCTCCTCCCTCCTCCCTCCTCCCTCCTCCCTCCTCCCTCCTTCCTCCTCCTCCTCCTCCTCCTCCTCCTCCCCCCTCCCCCTCCGCCGAAAGCTAGATGTGGGTCTCCCGCATCGGGCCCGAGCAGATGGGGCTGGATGTGTAGGCAGCGTTCCGCCACGGCGATGCATTTGCGATGCATTGGCGATGCGGCGCGACCCTCCGACCCCATCTGCTCGGACCCCATCCAGTAGGCCCCTACTAGATCTCGAGCGATGCTGATGAGAAGCATCAAACCAGCGATGCTGCTGACAGGTGTCGCACGCCTCATTTGTAACCAGCATAATATGCAGCCCAAGCCGGCACTGTCTTAGAATTGCCTGCTGCCGCGACGGTTTGGAGAAGGTGTTATGTACGGTGCGCGGAACGCACCTTGAACAGCCAAGATGAACATCTGCACAGTCGTAAACCTTGGAGGGAACGCTCGGACGTGTGCTTCTTATCAGTGCGGCAAGATAAATATGATCATCGACGAGCATTATGGGTCGTCTTGCGAATCAACGAACAAAACAACACGACACCGAAACATGCACGGGGATGGGGACGTCCGGGCGATGGCAACAAATTTCTGGAGCTCCGCGCGGACTTCTCGGATCGGCGCCACCCGCTGGCGCGGGGGCGGCCACCCCCAGAGTGCGTCATGCCCTCCTGCCGCGCAGAGCGCCCAGGGCAGCAGGGGGGAAATTGAGCGCGGCAGCCGATCTCACCAGCATCAGCGGCCTAGCGGTAGAACACATCGTTGCCATCGATGTGACCCGGCTTGATTCCCGGCAGATGCACTCCCTGCTGCCCTCCTCCGCGCTCCAGGGACGGGGGTGCAGCGCCGATGCAGGACGTCCGCGCGCGGACCTCCGCGAGTGTTGCGGTCAGGAGCGGCTGCTTCGCGTGTCGCGCCGCCGGTTCTGACCTACACAACGCTTCGGCGCGGCACGCTATCCGCCGACCATGTGCACGTGCCGATGTTGCTTCTTCTTCTTCTTCTCATTCTTCTTCTTTTTACTATCATCATTTTTATTCTTATTGCCATTATTATTATTATTATTATTATTATCATTAGTATTATTCTTATTATTATTACTACTACTTGTCTTCTTATTCTTCCGTTTCGTCTGATCGTCAATCGAGTTTCTGCCAGCGGCTCTGCTTCCGATCTCTTGGGCCAGCGAGGGGCTCTCCTAGGGGTGTAGATCTGCTCGTCCGCGGAGACGCCGTGGTCAGAGGAGAACTGCCCCGGGGGAAGGATTGCGTGCTGACGGTTGCCAGATGAGGAAATGGTGCCCATCACGCTACCCTCCGCCCGTTTTCCCCGCTTGGGGCCTCCTCGGAGGCCCTCGTCGCCACCGCTGGATTCGCTTCGAAATTTTGGCCCGAGCGCACCCCGGGAGAGGTCCGGGGAGCAGCGGTATCGCTACCTTTTGGTCTCCCTAGGTGTCGGCTTCTCGAGGCCCCGTGGGCCGTCAGACAACGACTCAGGAGTGAGACATCCCGCCCCGGGGGAAGCCCTCTGGGCTCCAGGAGCTTTTCCCTCGTGCTGCAGAGGGGGCCCATGCCAAGGCACCCCCTGCTTGCCTCCAGGGAGCCCAGGGTTTCGATGGTTTTGCGATGGGAAGCGCGACGTGCCCACGCCAGAAGTCCATGGACGCCCTGGGGTCTCGGGGTTGGGCTTCTTGCGGAGGGCTTCTTGTGGACGGGCCCCCACTTTAGGGGGGCCCACGCATGGGATAGGAGCAGGACGTCGGTGGTGCGCGCCGTGCCTGGACTGGATGGCTCCTTTTCTCCGGGAGATGTTGTGTCGGCTGCAGGTAAGAGCGAGTCTCCGCCGGAGTGGCCTTCTGTGCGCGGCTTTCGGAGGGCGCGAGGGGGGGGGGAGGAGGCGGGAGGGGGGAGGGCTGACCCAAGCACGCAGGGCGCTGCGGTGGCAGCGCATGCAGCGATCGGCCTGCCGCGCACCAAGGGTCACTCGTGCCCAGCTAGGGCCACTCGCTGCATGCGGCCGAGTGTGTGCCAAGATGCCTGCCCCGATCAAGCAGTCGCCATCCCTGCCCGCACGCGCCGATCGCGCGTCCTGGACGGCGCCCTGACAGGGCAGAGCTGGCGCGACCCTGCCAAATCAAGGGAAGTTGCCCTCGTGTTCTGTGCTTCAAGACCCGTGCCCTCTACATTCCCATGGCAGTGCGGCCCTTGGAAGGGTCTTGTGTCCTCTCGCGTGTCCTTTCCAACCATGCTCGACTGCACCGAGTCGCACGACTTCCTGGTCCTGAACACGACGGGCCCTGGAGCTCACGGCACAAGCTTCCGCTGCACGGAGCCCGCGTTGCGGGCTGCTCGTCGTCGTCGGCCCCGCGGCCCAGAAACGATCGCAGAAGCGGCCGTCCTGGCTTCCTCAGCGGGTTGCAAAAACGCGACGCTGGGCGACAGCATCGCCCGACCCTGAGATCCTGATGACTCAATTTTTCCAGGCCGGGCGTTTGCGTCCAGGCTCGTGCCACGGGACCTTCACAGATCGATCCAGCTCGACACCTGGGCGCAGAAAGATAACCAGGGGGTCTTGGGCTCCGGTCGGGATCTCAGTTGCCTCGATACGCCCGTTGTGAAACGCAACACGTTCCGTGTTCAAGACGTCCGTGTCAACACGTTGCGTGTTGGTTCCACGTATTGGACCACGTCTTGGCGAATGTATCGCGTCGGGCCTACGTTTTCAGCATACGTGTTGAGCTCCGTATCAATGCGATACGTGTTGCGTGTTGCGTATCGGGGCAGCTAAGGTCGTGATTTGTCGCGATGACGCACCTTTTCTGGAGACGTCGGGTGTCAGTGGAACGCAACTCTGTCAGAACCGCAATGGCCTGCGAGGAGCCCAGGACCCAGAGCGGAGCGCCAGGAGGCCGCAGTGAACCTGCATGACGCCGTGCCGCGGGAGATACGTGGCGCGCTCCAGGAAGGGCCCCCTGGCCTTCGTCGCGCCCTCGCCGCGGGCGGAACGAGGGCGGAAGACGGCAGAAGTAACTCTCGAAGAGGAAACCTTGGACAGTCACGTCCTCCTGAATATGGGGGGACGGCCAATGACATCAACATCAAAGCTCTGAGGTCCGCGCGGGCTTCTCGGATCGGCGCTGGGACCCCCTGGCGGCGCCCCGTTGCGCCGCCCCTGGCGAGCTCCGCGCGCCAGGGAGGGGGGTTCAGCGCGGGTCCAAGAAATCCGCGCGGATCTCGGAGTTGTTACGTTTATGTCAGTTTCAGTTCCCCTAGAATAGAGTAGAGACCACAGTCCTAATGCTGCAAGTCGGAAGCTGCAAGAGAGCGCAACAGAGTTGGACACTGCAAGAAAAAGGGAGGCGCCTTAAGACCTGCACATCACTTTGGGAGCTCCGCGCGCATTTTCTGGATCTGCGCCGAGACCCTTAGGAGGCGCCTCTGGCACAGCCCCTGGCGCGGATCCGCGCTGGACCCCCTCCTTGGCGCGCGGAGCGCGCCAGGGGCGGCGCCGGAGGTGCCGCCAGGGGGTCCTGGCGCAGATGCAAGAAATCCGCGCAGGCCTCCAAAAGTGTCTGTTCATGTCTATCCTCACATTTGTTGTGGATTTCTTGTTTCTCTGCACACACACACTCACACACGCGCGCCAGATCTCCCCGTTCTCCTCCTCCTCCTCCTCCTCCTCCTCCTCCTCCTCCTCCTCCTCCTCCTCCTCCTCCCCCCTCTCCGGGACTCCTCCACACTCACACACTCACGCGCCCATGCACTCACACACTCACACACTCACACACTCATCATCATCACCATCATCATCACCATCATCATCATCATCATCATCATCATCATCATCATCATCATCGTCATCATCGTTATCATCATCATCATCATCATCATCATCATCATCATCATCATCATAATCATCATAATCATCATCATCAGCATCACCAACAACAGCATCATCAATCTCATCACAATCGCCATCATCATCATCATCAGCGGCATCATCATCAGCATCAGCATCAGCATCATCAGCATCGCCATCATCATCATCATCATCATCAGCATCATCATCATCATCATCATCCTCATCCTCATCATCATTATCGCCACCACCATCAAGATCATCATCATCATCATCATCATCATCATCATCGTCATCGTCATCGTCATCGTCATCGTCATCGTCATCATCATCCCCCACACTCGCTTCACCACCCACATTCACCCATCACTCCTCCACCCTTCATCTCGCCATGATCATCACCACCGTCTTCACCACCACCTTCACAAGAATCAGCACACTAACACGGATCACTCACTCAGCACCATCGTCATCATCATCACCATCACCATGCCATCATGATCGTCGACCGTAGCCTCGCCGGCGAGTGGAATGTGAGGAAGTCTCGAGCGGGAACCACCTCTGTAAGAGCCCAGCACTTCACGTTCGAATCCAAGGTGGGTCATCGGCGCACCGTAGCAGGCATAGCATTTCAGTGCCCCAAGGAGCATCGTCTGTGAGTGACGTATGAGGAAAAGTCTCGAGCAGGAGCCCAGGAGCCCCTCCTTTAGGGCCCTGCACTTCATGTTCAAATCCGAAGCGGGTCACCCGCGAACCATAGCTCATAGCAGGCATAGCACTTGAGCACCCCAAGGAGCCTCTTCTGTGCGTGAATTGTGAGGAAGTCTGCAGCTGGACGCCCTTGTCTGAGAGCACCGGGTACCCCACTTCACGTTAGAATCCGAGGCGGGCCATCCGCACACCATAGAAGACATAGCACTTGAGCCCCCCAATAATCCCCTTTATCCGAATGACTTCTGAGGAAGTCTCGAGCCTTGTGGCCGTGGCGGCGAGGGTGCCAAGGAAAATCGACATGCGTGCCCTGGCCAGGGGTGCATGACGAGAACAGATGGGATGGAGATGAGGAGAGGGAGACGGAGGAGACAGTGGATCAGGGAAACGAAGAGCAGGAGGAGGAAACGGACGAGGAGGAGGACGAGACATGGAACGAGGAGGACGAGAATGGAGAGGGGACGGAGGACGAGGAGGAGGGGGACGCGCAACAGAGGGCGGGAGGGGGGCCTCCGCCAGGGCGAAGAGGATAGAGCGAGGGGCAGACTGCACAGATCCTCGTGCGGAGTCCCGGCGGGGGGGGGGGGGGCTTCCAAAGGCGGGACGCTTCTTTGAGCGCACGGCCCTTCTCAGAAGGGCCCAGGGCCCTCTACGAAGGGTTCTTAAAAGCTTGGAGGTCTTCCAACAGGCCCCCCCTGCTTTTTTTTTTCTTGGGGGGGAGACAATTGCATGTCATACTTTTTAGAAGCCCGCCACACCTCGCGCTCCAGGCCTCCGACGCCGGGTTTTTTTTTGGTCGCGACGTGGACCCCTGGAGGTCTGGGAGGCGTCTGCCTTTGCGGCCCTGGGGCCTGCCAGCACAGGAGTGGGGGAAGGGAGGGAGGTCGGGGCGGAAGGGGGACAGGGAGAAGGGATGATTCAGGCGATCGTGAACATGGATCAAGGGGGCGTGGATTAGCCACGGGTCGCGTTTCCCTGGGAAATCGCGGACTTCCCCGCCGAACGAGGCGGCCCCGGCCGCATTTTCGCGCCACATCTATGGATCGCTAATCCACGTTTGCGCGCCCTCTAAGGATGGATGGATGAATTGACGGATGGACGGACGGACGGACGGACGGATGGATGGATGGGCGGAAGACAGGGAGGGGTGGCGGGAGGATGGACGGATGGATGGAAGTCCTCTCAGCGAGGTGGCATGACGAGATTGCGGCTCCTGGGTCGCGAAGTTGAAATGACCCGTAGTTCTTGTCTCGCAGCGGGAACAGGTCTGGGGTTCCCCCCCGTCGTGTACGCCGCCAGGTTTCCTCCCCCTGAGGCCCGACGTCGCGAAACGCAGTCAACATCGTGGCAGATGAAGACCAGAGCTGCAGGCCTGGAAATGGGCACCAACACACACACACAGGGGCTTACCTCCACAGGGAGAAGATGATCCTGGAGGTGGTACTATTTCGGCCACCTTGGAAGCCAGAGCATTACCACCACCGCCGAGATCGGGATCTCCCTCCCTCGGTGGAGGCACACCGCCGATGTTGGTGTTGGCGTCAACCTCCAGGCCTGCCACGGAGCCCTGGACCCCACCTCTCTGCGGCATCTGTCGAGCCGGACATCCGGCCGCGAGGAGGGCCCCCGGGGTCCGCCCGACACGGCGCAGGAGCTGGGGGAGCCACCGTCTATCTGCTCTGTCTCTTTTTTTTGTTTTCCCTCTCTCTCGCTCTCTCTCCCTCTCTCTCTCCCTCTCTCTCTCTCTCTCTCGCTCTCTCCCCCCCTTCCGTTGCCCCTTGAGCGGTGTACAGTTGCAGTAGCAGCAGTAGCTCCAGTCCGGTGTTTCGGATTCTTGCTGTGCGTGTGTGTGTGTGTGTGCAAGCCGGGCGCAGACGCACGGCGCTGTGAAGCCTCCT